AAAATAGTTAATTGGCTGTTTGTCAGACGGTTTTGTGGTCAGATATGACATCATGGGAACTTTTTGGTCAATATAAAAAAAGATATACTGTACCTGGCACAAACCAAACTTAGTACATAACTCAGTCAGAACAGTCAAGCATGGTGGTAGCAGTAAGGCTTTTCATCAGTAGGGACAGGGGAGCTTGTAATACAGACAGGAACATAAATAGAGCAAAGTACTGGCAAATTTTACAAGAAAACCTGCTTCCATTTGCCGTAGACATCTAACTTGCGCAAAGAAATCACCTGTGTGATTTTAATAAAAACCTTAGAAAAAGACTTACCCAAAACTATTTCTGCTGTAATTGATGCCAAACATGCTTCCAATATTATTGAGATAACAGTTCTGAATACATACTGTAAGTAATCAGCATATTTTAGTTTTATCTTTTTAATATACTGTATGCTGACATTTACTGTAACCTATGTTACCCTTAGATGTCTTCATTCAGGTTTTGAATAAAATATTAAGTTTAAAAATATGCGTACAGTATGCATCATTTGCATGAAATGGAACACCATAGAAGGAGTCTGAATATTTTTGTAAGGTATTACAATAAATATTTTTTTCTAAAAGTAAGTAAAGGCTCCTAAATTGCATATAATACAAGGTGAGAAGTTAATCACTCTCTACTTCTACATTTTGTAGATCACAGAACACACGGCATTTCATATGTCTTTTCCTGATTTTTCTGTTAATTTTGTCAAAAAGCAGAGGCATTGTTCCAGAAAATACAGATGGCGAGTTCTGCATGTGTTGTTTAAAATGGAACTTATTTTCAAAGCCATCAACAGATTGCAAATGGGTTTTGAATACAGCATCTTGCATGGTTAGTCATCATAGCTAAAGATACAAACCACCCTTGTCAGAGTAAAATCAGAGTTAAAATCAGAATCTGAAATAAAAAGTTAAATAATTTCTACCAGCGGTATGTATTTGATTTCACAATTAAGCTTTTATTGTGGTATTATGGTGTAAATGACATGTCTAAATGCTTTACAGATGCAGGGGAATGAGTCTGATTACAGCATTGTGTATCTTTCTCTGTGGAGTTTGCATGTGCAAGCTGTTTGTGTGGGTTTTTGCTGGGTACTCCAGTTTGGTCCCAGTCGTGCTGGGTGGGTTTGACTGGCAGTGCCATGCAAACTTCTACCTTATTCTAGGTCCCTGCAATGGACTGGCATCCTGCCTTGTGCCCTTTGCTTATACTTATACTGCTCTGTCCCTCACCAGGATAAATTGACTTCTACAAATGGATAGATAGTACATTTGTGTGGTATATACTGTATGAATAGAGCAGGAAGGCTTTAATGCAGTTTTCAATAGTTTACAACAGAAAGACTAAACCAGTTTCCCCAGTCTCCTGCCACAACTCCAGACACTAGTTAACACTTTAAAGCCTTTGTTTCTCCAAACATACTTCCAGCCCCATGTGAGAATACCTACCTAATCACCACCAAATAGAAAACGGCCAACCTGGGATCCTAATTCCAGGCTCTGGAGGCACCTTGAGGGCCTCTAGTGGTAGGCTGACTGATAATACAGTCTCTTTATAGTCCAGTCTGCTACTGTACTGTACATATACAGTGTAATTTTAAATACCTTTATTTTCCAACATACTGTAAGAGTGCCATGTACATCAGCTCTTTTTAACTATTAATACTTTAGCTATTTTCAGATTAAACCTAATTTATTAGAGATATGTGCAGATATTGTGCCCTGCAAAGCAGTAATACCCTGTCCAGGATATATTCTGCTTTGTGCCCAAAGCACTAAGGGGTAGGCTCCAGCTCACCAAGACACTGTAATGGATTAAGTGGTTCCTGAAAATAGATGGACAATCAGGCATCCCCCAAAAATAAAGATTTTTTATAAACTTAATCTTTCTTGTACAAACTGTTAAGATTGATAATTGAAGAGTGAAATGCACTGAAAGGTCTTTGCCTAGAGCTATACTGCTTCAAATTCTAAGCATGTTTTTTAGATTAATTGGTGAATTAGTTCAATTTGTGAACATACATTTTATTTCTCCCGCTGTATTTTCTTGGCTGACCAGTAGTGCAGAGTATCTGCCACAGGTCACAGATGCATCTTAGTGGATGATGAAGTGATTCTCCACCTACTTGTAAAACATCAAAAGAAACTTACAACTATGCATGTAAACTATGCATAAAAAATAAGGTATACAAAAATTGATTAAAGGTTTTTGGCAAAATTTTAATTAAGTGATTATTCATGACTATGATACACTTGAGTGAATGTAAGTGCTTATGCAACATTCAATCACTTTAACAGTGAAAGATTAGATGTGATACAGATGATAAGGCAATTTAAACTGCTGAATGCCAAACACTGTGAAATCAAGAAATAAATGCACCCCATTTATCAAAAGAAGAATGCCATTGTGCCATCAGATAGGTGGAAACTAGTCATTGCATTTTTCCTCTCCAACTAGGGTGTTCAGTGAGCACTTTGTAATCTAGCATGATATTCAGCTAAACCATCTGTGAGAATATGACTCACAACACCTTGCCAAGGTCCAAATGGGGATGGTCTAGGTACTGTAGGAAATTAATCAAGTCCTGGGACATCACTTGATGTCCTTCTTGGGCACATCCATGCCAACATTTCTGGTCATGTAACAGTTGGCTCTCTTGCAGGAAAACAATGTGGCCATTATGTAGAAGATAAATCACCAGACTTGATCTCCACTGAACTTTTGAGAGATGAACTGGAACCGCATGGTATTTAGGGCAGAGACTAGTGAATAGGCACAGGCTTGTTCAGGCTCTGTAAGATGAATGGGACAAAATCCCACAAGACAGCATCAGTAAATTGCACAAAGCACAATTTATATTGCTTCCATTGGTGGCCACTCACACTACTAGCCTTTGAATGTCCTAGTACACCCTCTTTTGATAAACTCTGTAGATACAGTAAATGTTAATTTTTATAATAAACATTCCAATATCATGTCTGTTAATTATAATGTCAGGGAACTTGCTACAAAAACCATCATTGCCCTGATAACTTCTATGACTACGATAAAAACACTAATTTCATTGGTTGCTCAGTACAGTATATCACAAATCAAGGAAATGATTACCTTTCTTAAATTAAACTCCACTTTGAAACAGTTATTTTTCTCATGTTCTCTCTGCCCTAAGTGTTTTGTATGACAGCACATTGCTGTTTTGTACCTACAGTATTTCATCAAACCCAGGTGTCAAGAGTTTTTGTCATTCAGGGAAGTTGTGTTTGCCGTTTTAACACACTCCAATTCCAACATTCATTCATGCAACATCTGTTTAACACCATGTCTGTAAAGGTACCCTTTCCTCTTTTTTTCCCATTCTACAAAACTGACCACTTTCTAGTTTAAAACCTATTTGAGTTTTCAGCTTAACTCTAAAACCCTCCTGCTGGGAAATCAATAGCACCATTTTGGTGAGGTTTTTTAAGATTATTTGGTGCTGAATGCACATTTTAGAAAAGCTCCTTATAAACAGCCTGATGAATGAAAAAACATTTTATGTAGCACAATTTGTAGTTACTATACAGTATGTTTGGTGAATTTTCACTACACGGTGCAAATGAAGACAAATGCATTACAACTCAAACAGATAGGGCATTCAAGTTGTGCCAGTTGACACTAAGACTGTTTTCCAGTTGTGGTACAGACATAAATTGAATAGGTCTCTTCTATTGTTTCCGCAACACTAACCTTCTATAGTACATCTGCACATTCTTGAAAGTTAGTAAATAAAACTATAATTTGCCATGCATTGATATTATTATTGAGTGTTGAGAAAGATTGCAAGTTCTCACTGAAAGAAATACCGTCTATACAGTATGTACAGTATCATCTTTTTACTGCCTCCACAGAATAAAGCTGAACCAGTGTATGTTTTTGAAAATTAAACTCAGTATACATACAAAAATATGTGGTTGGACAATCACGTGCAACAACAACAAAAAAATATTTTTTTGGAATTAACCTATTACTTGTTTCTTTACAGCCTACGCATCCTGACGCTGCTACCCACCTGAGCTGTATGTCATTATGTGACTTACAAACCTGTATATGCTTATAATACTCTATCATTGTATCAGAATTCCAAAACACATAAAAGAACTACATACAGGCCATGAAATGAATAAGACCTTCTGAGATGTTTTCAGAAATGTAAAAACAACATTTTTTACACTTTAACCCTATTTAAAGGATTTCCGTGTAAAATGTGCTTATACATCTTAAACGAATAGGTTTTTATTGAGAATGAGGCCCATTTGAAAAATATCCTGAAAGCAGTTGAGTCTAAACGTTATCTTTCTGTGGCAAAATATGGTTTTAATAAAGTAATTTTGTCGTCATGACGTAGAACAGCTTTGTCCCGTTCAAAAAGTCTAAACAAGACAGAAAAAATCAGATACTGACTGTACATCCAGCACGTATTCACACCTAATTCTGGCTACTATTAAATGTGAAGCTACCGCATTGCAAATCTGTTATTGTGACTAACACAGCTCAATGATTTTCTGTTACTTTTAAACCAGTACCGTCATTTCATATATTCTGGAATACAATACATGATTATGATTAACTATATGCGTCAAGAAAAAAACTTTCCAGCCCATCCCCACAATTATGCTAAGAGGTATTTTTCTAACAAATCTCTAATATTTTGCGCATTGGTGTGTGCGGTAACTGTGTTCTTGGCGCTCACCTGTATTGTGCGTACACCCTGACACCTTTTTTTCTATGGTTTTTAACGATTTTCTTTTAAACGTGCCACATACGCCTACAAACTCACTTTTTCTAGTATACAAACTCTATATTTTTAGTATTGGTCTACGCACGACGTCCGCACCCGACACCTGCTGCCGAAGTCCTGCAGCTGAATATTATCAGTGGCATATTAAAACCATTACTCGCATTCCCTGAATTTACCTGCACTGCCGCCTCCTGGACAGACATGTCAGCCATGCAGAGGCTGTGGTATAAGCTCGCTGGCTCTCCATGTATCTCATCCAAAGCTGGAGAGGAGCGCACAGGCATCGGCATGGCTGCGAGAGTGGTGCTGAGCCTCAACACCTTCCTCCTGCTCGGGCTTCTGCTAACTAGGACCTGTGAGGCAGGAGGAAGCAGGGGAACTGGGATGCTTGCAGAGGAGAGGGATAGGGCAAACGACGTGGAGTCCCCATGCGAGATAAAAACGGTAACGGTGTCCACCCTGCCCGTTCTGCGGGAGAATGAGTTCAGTTTCACCGGGGGAGGTGCGGGGAGTCCGGCCGGGGGAGGAGCAGGGGAGTCCCGGCTTCTGCTCTTCGTTAGAACCGACCTGCCTGGAAGAATTTCCGTTTTGGATGACCTCGACAACACTGCTCTCCCGTACTTTACACTAGGTAAGCTGGAAACAATAATATAGCACATACTGCACTTAACTGTATTTACAAGTTCCACTTCACATATGCTGTTTGCAGTCCTGTGGTAAGCCTAGATGCGTAGCGTGCTGGACACAAACTGTTATTACGGCGTCTTGGCATTAGAGATGATTGTGTTTACGATTGGTTTTCCGAGAGTCATGCACTTTGTCATACATTTCAGCAGCTATTCCAACCTCTGTAACATAACCTGTGTTAGACTGCACTATACTCCTTTCCTTTCCCGGTGTGAAGCAGCCTGTCTGCTGTAAGAAATATTGCACATATCTCAAATTTGTACCCGCGCTCTTTACAAAGTAGTTCGCCCCTTTCTTTGCGGAATATGTCAGATTTGTGCAGAATGCTGTCAACACAAACAAACCCGTTGTGCATGTCGCCTTTCGTTAGAAGAATCGGTTACAATTAGTAGCAGTTTCTCGTTATTGAGGAGGTTCACGTGAAAGCAGAGCGAAAGGATGGCACTGCAACTAATATACCTGCGAATATAAAAAGACAACAGCAAAAAAAACTTAAAATTTTACGTCATAAAATAGTTATTTTTAATTGGGTTTTTTCTTTAACTTTGGGGTTGCATATTTTGTATTTAGTACGTAACTAAATCTGGGTACTGAATTCCCAATGCGAATAATAAGTGATACAGTATTTTGCAAAATCCAGCCCTTTCACCTCAGTGGTAAAAGATGATTAAGAAATTTCTCTATACAGCTGAAGAGTGCTCTAAATGAATAGAATGTATATCAAATGCAAGTGATTAATTGTTGTAAAGCGGGCTTTTTAATTGTCATACTGTGTGTGAAACGCTTTTAAGGAGCAATGCCAGGTTCTGCACCACAAACTGACGATTACGTGAATTTCAGATTCAGAAAAATGTGACCTAAACCGTTAATGTAATGATGCAAGGTGTGTGTTAAAGCGAGCCAGTGAAACGGAGAACGTTTGAGTGTGGGCATAGGACATATATATTTAAAAACACGAGTCAAATAAGTTAACCTTGGGCAACAAGAACCGTGAATGCCAGTCTTGGAGAGTTAGCTGCCTCCTCTGCCTTTCTTTCCAAGTCCTTTGGGGAAATTCTTGAGAACATTTTTATAAGCATCTGTAACGCAGGACACTAACTATGAAGTGAAGATAAAGTGTCTTGTGTTGAATGTTCTGTGCAGATCTGTATTGTTTGTTATTATAGCTTAGTTAAAAAGCACATTTTGTTTTACTGTAAAGACTATTGCGCTTATTCTTCAGAGCCCAGTCCTGTATAGGACTGTATAGCAATTCAATATACAGTATGCTCCTGTTGTAGCTCAATGTTCCCTTTTACCTTAGAATTTTTGGTGTGTTGTTAAATGTCTTAAGAATGACAACAGCAAGCATAGCCTTTTTTCTTTTCTATAATTTCTATAATTGTACATCATTTCAATTTCAATTTTTCAGGTGTGTGGAGCGGGTATGCATTAAATAATCTGGTATTTAACACCTGACATTTGTTATGGGTGTCCTTTGCTGAAATTTGTCAAGGTTTAGTAAATTAATAAAATCTTCAGGTTTAGAAGAACAGAAAACATACAGCAGTCTCTGCTTTTTTCTTTTATCGGCTGTCCCTCTCGGTTGAGGGTGAGGGTCTTCCTTGAATCTATAGGTGACTGACATAACCAACAGAAAATCAGTACAGCTGGTTGATAGGGTATTGTCTTGGGAGATATCAGACCATTTATTGTGCAAACCAATTGTGGTGAGCTGTCTTTGACACTCTCACTTTCGTTCCTAGTTTTGACATATATGGGTCTCAAGAGTGTTAGGGTCTTCAAAATATTCTTCATCAACCTGGTTAGGTTAAAGGCTAAAACATCTATACTGTAGGACCTGCTGGCTTGTGGGTTTCCAAGATCCGTAGTGTTGGCCAAGACTGGTATGTGCAAAAAAGGGTGCCAATGTGCTTTATCAGTACCGATTTTTGCATTGTGTTCTCTGTTTTGCTTTATCAAATTGTTTTAATGTTTGTAGTAGTCATTGAGTTTCCTTCTGTTTTTATATCAGGCAACCAATTAAACTATGGCAAATCAAGACTTCTCTCAAGTGTAACAGTGAGTGGTACGCTCGTTATCTGTCCTGGATCATAGTTCCTCTTGGCTGATCAGTGCCTTGCTAATCAATCACAGAACACAGGATTTGATCCATACCAAGTTCCAAAATTGGATTGTTTCCTAAAATGGTAGTAATATCTTTCAACCAGGTGTGAAATGTGTTTTCAAACTCAAAGAGGTTTGAAATCATTTCTGAACTAGATAGAGAAGGGTTATTTACTTAATGTATGCCTTTTATAATGCATTTTATTATTGGTTTGCTGTGTCTGATAGCACAATCTGTTTCTAAAAACAATAGAATAATATTTGTGCTTCTATAGTCATATATTTGCATTATAGACTTGCATAAAAGGACCTTTGAATTACTTTGCTTTTTGAAATTGGTTTATGCGTACAGATTTGCCAGCCATCATTCATTTATAATCGTGCTCTGTGTGTGGAGAAGCTACAGCGCCAGGCAGACGTATGAGTTAAACTCACGCTACTGTTAGTACTGAATGCAGTATTCAAATGTAGAAGAAAAGAGGTTTATCTCCTTTCTGTCACCTGTGCATTAGGGTTGCTTTTCCTTTTTTGTGTGCCTCATTGAAGCATTAGGAAACACAGAGATAGCTTTTTCTCCCCCGTCATTTTTTTTTATCGCAAAAATGACGCGGTTTGTCGGGTTTGCTGTCTCTTAAACGAATGCAGTAGGAGTTAGCTTTCCCGCAGCAGATGTGCGAATGTGCTGTATTGTGTAGCCAAATGAAACATTTGACAGTTGGTTGAACCATCCAGATTGACTTTAATCCCAATTGCAAGTTTTGTTTGGTATCTTTTATGTGTCTGAATCGGAGCTGGATCAAACAAAACATATTGTGTGTTAATGTAAGGTTTTGCGTGTGCTTGAATTAAACTCTACTGCATTACCCAGAGACCTGGGAAGAGTTCATTTCTGCTTTACCCATGTGTTTTTATTTAAACAACAGTTCAACCCTGCTTGCAAACTGACAATTTTATTTGACCTACTTATTATACCTATTATATGTATTTGACCTATTTTTCATTAACATCTTTTAATCATTTGTATTTTGTCTCTTCTGTATTGAGTAAGGAACCAAGTTAAAAATATTGTAATACAGTTCACATTTTCAAGCCCTTAAAGCTCTAATTTAAATCCATTCAATATAATCTCTCCAGAAGTCCTGGAACTCTGGTAAATTTTCTGTTTTGACAAATAGCATATGTCTGCAAGCTGGAGTCTCCTGTTTTCTGCTTTTTCAATGTACAGTGGTTCTGACTATGCAGTCTAGGGTGCCTGTCTCCTAATGGTGTGTGTGGAATTAACATAACATCTGTGAGTGGACATTGCATCTGGGGTAGGTAAAGGGGGTGATTTAAGGTTAGGGTTGGCCTGGCTTAGGTAAGGGTGAGGTACAGTATGAGTTAAAATCAAGGATGAGGTTAGGATTAAAGGCTAAGGTTTTAAATCTAGGTTTAGCTGTGTTGTATACAGTATAGGTGGGATTAAAGGAAGATCATTTTAGAGGGGGTTGTGGGAGATGGCAGACATTTGTTAGTTTGCTGTTTCCATGTGAACATTTACAAAGTAGGTTTTAGGTAACTTTTCTGCACACACATGACTGCACAACTGAAGCTACACCCTAAGGTATAGGACTGGTGCCTTTGGTTTGCAAAGGTACCCTTGTCACCTTGAGAGACCAAAAGAAAACTCAAATGTTCTTCAGGAGGAGTAACATCAGGTAGCAGTTGTAACATAGAGACACAGGGGCAAACAATTGTTGTAAAACAATTATTTTCTTTGCCATATTAAGCTGAACAATATATTCAAAAACAGAAAGCTCACCGTGGTGAAAAACATTAAAATAGAGACAAGATGGTATTGCATTTGTGGACTTTAACACTCTAATTTACAGTTTTTGTAAGGATTCTGAAATATACTTTGGAAATGGACTAGGTGTCTTTGCTTTCTACGATTTATACTGTTTTAAATCTTAGGTCTAGAGTAGTAATCACATCACACTTTTTACTTTTTAGTACCATTCTTCTCCTTCTTTTTAAAAACCTACCTTAATGCATATCTATGATCATTACTTGCTTAAAAGGTAAAGTTAATGCATGTATTTGACCTGGATAATGCTTTTTAATAATAGTAGGATTATTAAGAGGTTTGAGTGGAGAGATCTGTCAAGGAGCAGGCTGCAAAGGAACACGAAGAGGTTAATTCCAAAACTGAAAAGTAGAAAGAAGGAAAAAAAAAAGTCATTTTGGCTGTGGAGCCATCTTCAGGTGTGTTATTTATAACAACATCACTTCAAGCTATGGGCTGTATTGTCAGTGAGTGAGATGAATTCATCAAATATCCCTCAGTGAGAAAATGCACTGAGTAGCCAAGCAAGAGTACCATTAGATTTCTGTGTGCCTCTTTTAGTAGAACAATGCACTTGGTTTTTTGGAGACATGATATTTCTAAACCTTTCCAAAGTGTAGCTTTGCTAACAAGATATAAAATAACATACTTAAACTGAGAGGCAAGTATTTACTAAGACTTTTGTTCCTGTGTTGGCCTCTTTGTAGCGCAATAGCTGGCTGTTCTCATGGTTATATGGTTCTGAGTCTGGTGTATTGTACAAACCGCAAGGTTGCAAAGGTTATACTGCTTGCAAAAACTGTTATGTGTATTTCTGTGGCAGTGTGCTTTATTATCAAGGCTGTTCTAATGTTGGTTGACTTAACTGTGAGAATTTGCTTACAATGTGGTAAGTCAAAAGATAAATTACATACAGCGCATTTTCTTAAACATTTTTTTCCTTGGGACATTGCGTAGACTTTGATCCAGTGATCTATTTCACATGATAGGTTATAGAATTAGGTATTTGTATA